ATTAATCGGTTCGGTTTTTTCTTCGATTTTTTCGAACAAAACCATAACCAAATCAAATGCTATCGGGTTTTTAAAAATCTAAAACCAAACAAACCCTAAATAAAATTGGTTCATTTAATCGGTTTGGTTTTGTTTTTTGGTTTGGATAGGTTTTTATACAAACACGTTCTTCTTGACCTGTTTGTTTCCTAAAAATGTAAATAGAAAAGAATTAACAATGTCCAAGAATCCTAAATGTAGTCAATTTGACCCTCATAATACAAAATGGGCCATCTCTCTTGAAATTGAGAGAATACAGTTTTACAGTCGATTCTGTGTTTTTCACTTGAAAATAATGCATGCCCTCTATCCTGAGCTAGAATATATATGCATAATTATTTTTCCCGAGCATTAAGATGCTAAAAGATTTCATTATGTAACTTGAAATGCACTTGTTTCTATGTTATGCAGGGTAGTGTCAGTGTTGCTGATATTATTGGATTCACTGGTTCAGAAACAATATCCTCAAAATCAGATGGTAGGTACAATTGCTGTTTTCTGCATATGCCAAATGTTATAAATAATTCTTACAGGTTTTGGTTTCAGAAATTGTGAAAGGGCGTTGAATAACCAGTTTTAGTTGATCTGTTGCACTACAGGACATCTTAAATCTTGGGACATCTCAATTGATCTTGTTAATGTTCTCAAGCATGAGATTCGGGATGGACAACTGAGCTTAAGAGGCAAAAGGGTGCTTGAGGTACTTCATCTGAAATCATTCATGTGATTTACATGCATTTTACCCATTTATCACCTCATCTTCCCTTTTTTGGATAACAATGAATTAACATGCATATTTGGAAGAATCTAGATCAATCTATGTAAAAAATTTTACAAAGATGTGTTCAAATGCCAGGGAGCTCGTTTCTAAGCAGAGTAGTATGTGCTAAATGTAATACCTGTTTAGTAGCATGTTTTTGGACTCACTATCAATAGATACTAGGAAACATGTGTTAGCTTGTAGAAGCAAATGATTTTTATGGTTCCTTTTGGACACTACCAACTTAACTGTAGCACAAAATTCGATCAGAATAAACGCTGCAAAAATGGATCTTTTGGAACTTGGTATAAGCATTTTAAATCACCTTAGAGAACCTTGATGATGAGATAGGCTGTGAGCAAGCAGAAGATCATAATGCTTGATTCAAGAGTAACCTTTTCGTGCCATTGGACCTTAGCAATAGTCTTTTTGGAAAGATATTTGCCTCCAAGATATAGGGCCCTAAGATGCATAATTACTTGGTGCCTTTTAAATTGTAGCTCATTTCATCAAAAGATTTATGCACATGATATGCACATAACTTACCCACAATGTGTCTTGCCAAACATAACAGTTTTGAAGCTTTTCCATAAAGCCCCAAAGCATTCTGAAATAACTTGTTTATTAATGGGGGTAATTCTGGCACTGAATAGAGTCTTAGTGCATCATATATGCTGTTAATAGTGTTGCTTGAAATCTTTATCTTTGATCTTGTGTTACATTTCTTGGTGATTTGCTTAAAATGGCAAGTTTGTGCCTTTAGCATTTGCTTAGATTACAGCTTTGCTTGTCTTTCAGTCTATCGTCTCTCCTTGTATCTATAGGAGATGAAGTTACCATACCTAGTTGTATTCCAATATTCCTCACTTTAAATACTGGAAGTTAATTCTGTTTTCTTTTATGGACTTTTTCCTTTCAGCTCGGTTGCAGTTATGGGCTACCTGGCATTTTCGCTTGTTTGAAGGTAACAGCATTAATGTAGTCTTGTATGCAGAAATATATGAAAAATATACTTTTGAATGTCATTGGTGTGTAGTGTTCACTATTTCTGAATTAAATCTAGGCACACAAAGGGTGTCAACTGCTGGAAATAAATCAGTTGATGTCAGAGAAGTCATTTCTTGATTATCATATTTGTCACGAATCATCACCAAATATGTGCATCGCTTCAAACCAGGATTTTCATATCTCAATAGAAGTCATTTAATCCCACATTTGTCAGTATCCTGTGATCCTTCTTATTATTCCTTTCTTGTTCCTTTTGTAACCCTCTTTTCTTGGGTGACAAAAACTAGCTTATCATAAGTCTCAATCTCAAGCTAGTTGGAGTCTGTTATAAGAATCATCACTATCCATTATAATCATCTATTGAGGTTATTTTGACACTACAACTTTTCCACCTTTTCTACTCAGATACGAATTTCTAACGAGATCAGAGGACTTATTGCAATTAATGAACCTAGTTTAAGCAAACCAAATGGCTAAAACTCTCCTCTTGCCTATATCTATTTTTTCCCCTTTGTATTCGATCTTTGCTAAGTCTTCTTGGACTTCTTAGAAACTGTAGGTCGTTTAAGACAAACCCTCTTATATGTGATTTCGGGTCTGTTCTGCTTCTTTTTAATGCCTTCCAATCAACATGGTTACACTTATCCACCTTTATGCCGGTGCATTTGAAGGTCTTGTAGGAATTGACCAAATCATTTCAAGTGATCTTCTCAAGTTTTATTCTCTGCATGTGCTACTTGCACTTTCTGCAGAATTTGTATATTTTCTATTGTTGAATGGTTATTTATGATGCACATCCATCTAAATATTTACGTTTGTGGGAGATCCATCTCATAGATATGATGGACTCCATATAATATTATTAACCTAACTACCATCTTATAGAACTTAGCTTTCACTTGGTAGTTTCTTTCTGCAACGTAACACCTAATAGTATTTTTCTATTTCAAACGTCCTAATTTATGGGCCCAACAACCATTCTATAGAACTTACCATTCACTTTGGTTGGTATTCTTTTCCAGCATATAGCATCCAACAGCATTTTTTTATTCCTATTTTAATTTTATATATTACATTTTTATCTCTTGGAACATCGAGCTTAGGTAATCTGAACTTTATACAATTTTCAACTTTTCATCATTGCCATTTGCGAAGCCAACTTTTAGAAGTTGTCATTGGCAATTCTGTGATTTTCAAGGAAGCAGTTGAGAGGATCAACTCCTTAAACAATGAACACTAGATTGCACAGTTTGAAAGGGTGCCTCATGAACATGAAGGAACTACTTGACCTGCATGTGAACTACTGGTTTTGTGTGAGGTCCCAACATATCCCATGCAGTCCACAAGTGGAGTCGGGGGAGGATAGAGTGTACACACACCTTACCTACCTTAGAGGTAGAGGTTTCTGATAGACCCTCAGTTTTGTTATAGGTCCTAATGCATAGTAATTTGTAAAACCTCTTAGGGTCCTGTTTTTGATCAATAAATTAGTTTTAAGAGCCTGATTGGTGCAGGTCGACAGTTTGCATTCTTTGAGGATATATTGTTACTCTCATCACTTGGGGGAACTTAAATAATGCAGGAGGTGGATGTTAAGTCGAAAATTCAATTCATTTCACAACTCACAAGTGTGTGAATGCAAATGACAGAGCTATAAATATATTGTATACAGACATGATAACTGAAGTCCAGTTGTAGCTGAAGTCTATAAGACCCTTGCTTTCACTTTACTCCAATAAACTGATGTAATATAACCTCTTGCAGGGAGCTTCAACAGTACATTTTCAAGACTTCAGTGCAGAAACTATAAGATGCACCACCATCCCTAATGTTTTAGCAAACATTGAGCAGGCCCGTGATAGGCAAAGCCGCCAGCCTGAGAGTCCTTTGACTCCTTCAAGACATATTCTTGCTCCAGTGGTGCATTTTTATGCTGGGGAGTGGGAGGAACTCCCTACAGTCTTATCTGTGGTGAGGAATGATATATCTGAGGTACCAACAGGAAAGAGCCTTAGTTTGTCAGAGGAGGATTTCATGGATGGTTGTAGTAGCCAAGACGGGAGCATATTGGGTCTGGAGTCTTCCTTGAGGAGATCTAGGAAGCTCTCTGGAAGCAGAGCATGGGAGAGGGCTAATGATGCAGACAACGGCGAAGGTGGATATGATGTAATTTTACTGACTGAACTTCCCTACTCAGTGCCTTCCCTCAAGAAGCTATATGGGCTTATAAAAAAGGTGAACTTAACTTTTTAAACATGCTAATGAGTTTCCCTTTGCACTCCAGATTTAGCTATTATGTTTGATTTCCACCGCCTCTATCTTTTCTTTTTATTTATCACAAGTATTGGAAACTATAGTTCTCACACCTTCTTTAACAGTGTCTGAGGCCTCCTTATGGAGTAATATACCTGGCTGCGAAAAGGAATTATGTGAGCTTTAACAGCGCAACTCGTCATTTGAGAAGTGTGGTCGATGAGGAAGGTGTTTTTGGTGCCCATTTAGTGAAGGAGCTAGCAGATAGAGAGATTTGGAAATTCTTTTTCAAGTAATGGACAGTCAACTTCACTTCACTCCACTGCATTTCTCAGCACCCTAAATTTTATTCATCTAACGTTGTTTCTTTTTTACGCATTGGTATTTATGTTACGAGTATCATATGATTACTAGAGCAACTTAATCTATGGCTTTGAGTCCTGCTGGTCTGTCATCTATGTAGTTATTTATGCTTGTGGACCTTCTTTTCTTCCTTATTTTGAAGGTGTAATTTAAATGTACATTATCTTCGGTTAATACATGCTCCTACATTTTGGGTTATAGATTGAAATTGCACATTGATCTATATTTTCTTTTTAGTTAATGAGTCTATTACTTGCTTCACAGAATTACAAAGTTGCATTATGTTGTACTGATAGCATCTATATTCCATCATCATAAACTAGTTGATTGCACAATTAAGTCTAGCCTTAACAAAATAATTGGTAGGCTAGTAGGAAAAGATATTTTCCAAATATTTGTTGATAATTTTACTTATAAAACGAGAAACTACTTAAATGAATGATAGAAAACTTTTTGAATAACACATACATACACAATTACAAGAATTGCTAGTTGACATCATTGCATTGAAGATGAAGCATGTGTTGAGAAACCTCCCACACATTCTATTATAAAACTAACCAAGCAGATTTAAAGGAAAAAAGTAAAAAAGACCATCCATTAATGGGGTAGAAAATTGAACCTCATTAGTAACAAAAGACTAGTGCAGATAATACATTCTTCCAAAGCAATGTTGTTCTATAGAACTCAAAAATCCATTACATTAAACAAAATTATAAAACTAACAAGTTCCACTGTCAAACCATCTCTTGTCCCATATCAAAACGAAATAGCATAAAACATGCAAAATTGGCCCAGGAGAAGGAATTTATCGCTTCTTGGAGACACCAACAGTCTTTCCTCGGCGACCAGTGGTCTTGGTATGCTGACCACGCACACGAAGACCCCAGTAGTGACGTAAACCGCGATGATTCCTGCCATGATCACATAGTGAGAGATGAAGGATACACACAGACAAGGTTTAACAATAAGGTGCATTCAAGTATTGAGAATATCAAATATAACATGTCATGTTAACAGCAAAAGTAGATAAGACCAACCTGATCTTCTTCAGGCGTTCCAGATCATCCCTAAGCTTCATGTCCAGTGCATTAGATGTAACTTGTGAAAACTTTCCATCCTTGTAATCCTTTTGCCTATTTAAAAACCAATCAGGGATTTTGAATTGACGTGGATTAGCCACAACAACCATCAAGCTATCGAGTTCAGCAGCAGTGAGTTCACCAGCCCTACAGAAAAGAGTAAAAGAAGAAATTTAGATAACTTGGCAATAAATAAAATTATCAAAGCAGGAACACTTGGTGCAACAATTAAGCTTAGCTGGTGCAGAAATTTCACAAATCAAAAGCAAATAGATTGGACGATTTAAAAATTAACTACTGATCAAACTTCATGATTAAAAATTCGAGACTAGACCATAGATAATGGATCATTTAAACCTGTACTAATGTAGCTGCACATTACTTGAAACTTCTGTAAATGTCAAAATCATTTTATTCTAAACTCCCTACTAAGAAAATATGTTCTCTCTCAGAAAATTTGGTTATCCTTCCTCAATACTGCAAAGTAGCACCAACCTAAAAAAGCCGCATATGAACTTTTAGTCCAGCTACTACAACAATGTTGACAGCATTATCTGTCAGGCTATAATCCATACAGAGTGAATGAAACCCCAAAATCAGGAAGGTATAGTTTCATCATCCTTTCTCTCTACCAGCAGTACATTAATGGCTCCCTCCAGTCTCCACTAACAATCAGCAATCTTGCTCAATAATCAATCTTAGTTTCTAAACCATTGGGCAACCCATCTATTGGTTATTTATCAAAAAAGTTACAGCAAGACTTGACAAGTTTGGTAATACATCCAATTATGGTTGCAGAAATAACTATTTTCATTATATTTTCACCAGGGAGCATTCATTATAACTAAGTATTACAGACAAATTAAAACACACAGTACACGAACATAATATAAACATCGCCGACCCAAAATAACCATGAGATCAAGGACAATTTCATAACTAGTAGGGAGAAAACAAGGAGGAAAAAGTAGTAAGTAACCTCTTGCTCATGTCGATATCAGCTTTCTTGCAGGCAATGTTAGCAAAACGACGACCAATACCTTTGATTGATGTCATAGCGAACATGATCTTCTGTTTCCCATCAACATTTGTGTTCTGAACACGAAGAATATGCTGAAAATCTTCATTTGCAACAAGCGACTGCACACAACCCAAAATCAGAAGCAGTCCAATAGACCAAACACACAAATTCAAATAAGAAATCATTTCTATCTCACCATGATTAGGGTTTCAAATCCTTCTCTTCGGTGCGGCTGCTTCTTTAACTGGCGAAGAGATGCAGAACTCACAAAAACCCTAGCACTGATCGAACAGTTTGAGATTATATATAGGCGGAAAAGGACAATATAGTAATTGAGTGTAGTATAGTGAAACTATTTGGTGATTTGCACTTAAAGTGCTTAGCTTTTGGAATAATGACTGTTGAGTCTCTCAAGTTTTCTGAATTCATCTTTTATCTCATAAGATTAACAATGACTAAAGCTAGTACTAATATTTTTTTGCGTAACAACAAATGAATAATCTTCCATTCACCTTTGGAGTTCTAAGATTATTTTAGAAAACATGATCACACAAAATAAAATGCCCCTTAATTTATAAGGTTGTTAATTTACTTTCATTACCAATCTCGTTTACAACGTTCTATTGAACTAGTTTCATTATTTTCCTTGATTTATTTTAAATGTTTTTAAGTTTTAAAATAGTTTTTAAGCAGTTTTGAAGTGTTTGGCTACAGTTAAAAAGTGTTTATAAGCACTTATTTTAAAGTCAAAATAATAAAAATAAGCCAAATGACATAAATTAGACTTTTGGCTTATAAGACTTGTAAGCCAATCCAAACAGGCCCTCATTGCCGATGTTTACTTTCTGAAGGTCCACATCTTTTAAGACAGAAACATTAAGTGAAAGCATTATAATTTTAGGTGAGAAAATCTCACCAGGATTCACATAGATTTTAGAGCATTCAGACAATTAAGTTCAGATAAAACCAAAATTTGCATGCAAAGTTCTTGGGGTTGAATGCAGCCTCAAAACTGTTTGGAGCCATCTTATTTTCATACCACCAACCCAAACAAAAGTCAAAACACGAGTTTTAGCTACTTAGTATCAAGATATTCAACTTTTCATTATCCCATTCTACCCCATGTTTCGAAGATATGCAAAAAGGGATTGATCTGCATTATGCACTTCCTTCTGCCTGCTTCCTTGCTTCTTCCCGCATAACAGCTCTTACATATATCTCATAACAACATCCTGAAAGTAAAAATTAGGCAGATCAGAATGGCGGTTTTCAAAAGTATTAGCATTATAAACAGATCCATATTGATTGTTGCAAATTGCAGGCAAAACAAGCCAGCAGGGTATAAAGATTTCAAGACATCCCTCAGACGAGAGAAATTACCTTGCTTCAAGGAAACTAGTATTCAATAGAGTGGATTTTTTTCATGATTCAGAAATAGCTAATAGCAGCCCAAAAACAGTAAACAGATGCTGCAAGGAACTAAGTTGTGCGGACACTTCACTTTCGATGCCGCACCCGTGTCAGATTCTCCAAAATACACTACTTTTGGAGAATCCGACACGCATCTACTCACATTTTTGAAGAGTCCAGCAAAATAGGCAAGGAACATTAATTAATAGCTTCTGAATAACAAGGAGTTGGATGTAAATCAACAGTGAAGAAGCTACTAATGTTCTTTCAATAGTTTCATATATATGAAGGCTTGGAACTGATCATTGCAAATTATATTAAGAGCAGTGTAGATCATGTCGCTCTAAGAGCAGCAAAGGGTGGCTGATATTAGATGTTGCATAGAACATATAAGCCTCTGAACAAGATCTGGATGTATGAGACATAGAAGAACTCTTTAGGTTTTCTATTTCCTTTGTTGGGGAATAATGGGTAATAGCAGAAGGTTCTAAAGCAATTTCAATGGCATGGATCTGATATCATTGAAAACTAAAAAGTGATGAAGGATGCAGGGTAGTAAAACTCCAAGTGACAGGGTGGTACTGCACAGTACACTCGGACCAACTTGTTTTGAGACTGCCATCTATAACAAGCCACAAGTAATAAAAGGGCACCCCGGTGCCTAAGCTCCCACTATGCTTGGGGTCCAGGGAAAGGCCAGACCACAAGGGTCTTTTGCATGCAACCTTACCCTACATGTCTACAAGAGGTTGTTTCCACAGCTCGAACCTGTGACCTCCAAGTCACATGGCAACAACTTTACTAGTTACCCAAAGGCTCCACTTTACCAAAATTTGTCACAGATGATAGATTACAGAATGTGTTTCTGTGACATTAGTACAGATACTATGCTCCCAACCCTGAAAGAAATGGAATCATGAGCCAATATTGGGCTGCCTGTCTAAATTTGACGAATGTGCTCAGTCAAGGGGATGGCATGAATTAAGTAACAACTTCACCTTCTCTGCAGTACATACCCTTAGGGGTCGTTTGGAATGGGGGATGGGATAAACAAAGTTATCCCATTATATATATGAGTTGACTTATCTCATCACTGTGGTATAAATGGTGGGATAAATAATCCTTGGACTAACTAATACCTTTAACCAAATGCAATCATGCATCTAATCCCGAGATTACCTAATACCAAACAACTCCTTATTCCCTTACAACTGCATTCACAGAAAAACAAATAAAGTGAATCCAATAAGTGGTGAAGAGCAAAACCTGCTACTACAACAATAGTTAGAACATCTCCCACCCTTTTGAGGGTTCGCACACTTTGTTTATGTGATTTGAAGCGTTTCAAGGAGGGATCTGCTGCCAAGAGCTGCAAAAATAAGAATTGGCAAGAATAAAGCAGATGGAAAAAAACAGACCAAAAAGAAAGAGCTTGCTGCAAACAATCAGGCAAGTTCAAATAAAAGAGATCCTACTTGTGAAATTTATAGCTTACAGCATTTTACCAAGGAAATTTAACGATTTGCAATTGAGAACAAGTCACTCAAATGTTAACTCCACTAAAGAATATATCATGCACATGGAAATATTAAAGCTCATGCTCAATCTAAATTTCTAATGTGTGAGCACACACACATAGTATGCTCATTCAAGCACCCCTATACTGATGGCACCATTTGATTTGACAAATAACCCCATCCCAAGCAACATTTATACGAGTAGCTAAAATATAGATTGTCTCGAGCCAAACTATAGGAAATACATCTGATACTTCTTTAACATGTTGAAACATGTAAGACATTCTGGGTAATGTCATGTTGCACAATTATTAATTTTGCTGTTAGGCATATCACTATACTAAGAAAGAATGTCCTGTAATTTTCACATTGTTGCTATCGCAATACCACATGTGCCCTCAATAAAATAGACAAACAATCTTTTATCTTAAAATGATTCACAATGATTAAAATTCACAAGCATTTCAACTTAGTAAACTACACCATCCAAATTATCCAAATTAAAAGGAAAAAAAAAATCCTCGAGTACACTTGTTAGTGCAAGAAACTACACCAAAAAAGATTAACGAATCAGCTGTTTTCTGATAAAGTGATTATAACAAACTAGCTGTCCTAGAACTTAGATGGTTATCGGCACAATGATAACCGGGAAACAGTGTATCTATGCACCCTATCAACCGTGACGCTACAATAAAGTATCAATCAATCACTAGACTTCATCTAGTTAAACACATAGAACAATTAAAGACAGCTCCCAATATCTCCTTATCAGTTCAAATTTTCTTCAGCTCTTCTATTAAAAAAAAAACACTCAGCTACACAAAAAAAGGAGAACCTACACAAAATATAGTACTCTTCAAAAAAAAAAAAAAAACTCAATCCCTAACATACACATCGTGGTCTCACAAAATGTTCACCAAAATCAACCGATTGCTCATCCCAATTAAAGCTTCAAATCTAAATTTAACGCGACTTTAGATCTTTATAGTAAACACACAAGGTCGATTAGGCAAAGGGGAAAGTGCAAGTACTCACAGCCTTTTCACGAGCCCCGGGTTCGATATGGATCCCACGTCGTGACAGCATCAATGATTCATCGGTCTTCTACAGTGCGAATAAAAAGCGAGATTTCATTAGTTAGTAAACGCATCAAATAAATACAAAACAGAAAACTCAAATTAGAAACGAGAGAGACCTGAGGATTGAGTCGAAGCTTCGATAAAGCTGTGTTGTTGAGCAAAAACGCCATTGATTTTCACCGAAATCGAACAGAGTAATCGTAGATGAAGAAGATGATTCTGAGTCTCCCGAATACAGCACAATAAGAGAGAAATTCGTCAGTCAGTGAAATTTTGTGAAATGGGGGTATTGGAAGAAAGGTTATTTACACAGAGCTCCCTAACTTACAGAAATATGTCATTAAACCCCGTAATGTTTCAGTTTGTACAAAGAATTCCTTAAAGAAAAATAATTCAAACTCGTCGTGAAAATCTCGCTTTGAATTGAACATATAAAGCACCGACAATATAAAATGTGGAATCATTATCATGTAAAATTATGAATTAAAATGATCAATAACTTTGATCGATGTCATGATAAAAAAACGAATATTAGGACAAACTCAATATCAAAACTTAATTTATGAAGTGAAGACACAAACGATTGAAATTTCGATCTATAAGAGAACTCCATACATTGTACATCTCAGTGAAGATCGGTGACTAATTATATAATTTGAAGTAAATATACTGAGTGTACGTATATAGAATTTGTTACACATACAAAGTATATGCAAATATTATCTCATTTCATTTTATGTAACATATTTTTCTTTTTAAAACTCTCATATTTTAACCCATGAAAAGGTTCATAATACAAAAATTTTACTAACTCAATTATTTAACTATCTGAAATCTCATCTTATTAATATACATCCGATTATCCATCGCGTAATCTCTTAGATCTTTCTGTGTTTGTATGGCACAAGACCAAAAGTGGTCAAAATGAAGTGAGACAAAACCGGGGAAAGCAATAAAACAACATAATCTTGACCAAAAAAGATAAATTAATTAGCTTAATTAATAACTTAATTAACTACTTCCCCCTAATAATAGGATTTTCCTAATTCTCTCCCTCTTCCTTCTTCCTTCTCTTCCTCTCTAATTTGTTCTTTTTTTCCCTTCACTTCATTAATTTTCTTATGATCTTTTGATCATTTGTTCCCTTTGGGATGTTCAACCTAATAACCTAAATTCCAAAAAAAAGAAACATATTAACACAACATATAATCTAAAATTTAACATCCCAAAAAAATGGGAACATGCATGTCTGTACAAAATGCAAGTTTCTTGAAAAGGACTAGGATGAGACCTACTCCTATTGATCAAGAAACATGTTCCAAGAGCGCAAGTAGGACATCCGTGCCTAAA